ATGCTACAATACTGCGCTTGACACATGTGCACTGTTATAAAGAACTTGTAAAATTTACTAGAAAAAAATCCTTGTAACAATTTACACTGTTTGTTAAGTAACTTTAAATGCTACAAATTCATGTAATATTTACTCATCATTATCTAGTAGAAGTCATTAAGTATATAGTTAAAGATTTGTGAATAAATCAGGTAAATTTTACTTAATTTGATCAAGTTTGTTACAAGATTTAATTGAGCAGTTTAAGTAAAATTTAGCTGATTTATTCACAAATCTTTAACTATATTCTTTACTAGATAATGATGAGTAAATATTACATGAATTTGAAGCATTTAAATTTACTTAACAAACATCAGTGCAAATTTGTTAGAGGAGTTTTTTCAAGTACATCTTACAAGTTACTTTTTTCAGTGTAGATTCACTTTTAAATCCATATGCAGCCAGGCGGCCATGCAAACCTGCACTATATTCATACAGCCATCAATAAATCAACTAATTAAAGCAGTTTTCAACGTTCATCTTTCTAAATTGTTGACTGGAGCTGTTTTGTTCACTCTCTGCCACACAGCTAATGGGTCATTGACATTTTTTCAAGTGTTCTGCTGTTCTATTATCTCCTGTATTTTTATCGCAACGTTCTCATGTCAGCCGTTCGAAAGAGAAACTGACCGTGATTATTTCAACAATTAATGACTTCAAGTGAGCAATTCTTATAGTTTTGGAGCATCGTTTCAACCAGTTTTTAATAGACTTGGAGGAATTAGAGCACAAAGCCTCTGCGAAATGACACCGACCTGCTTCGTGTTGATATCATCGGGTTTGAAAGTCCAGCTCACAAACAGAGATCCTTCCTGAAGAGCTCAGCCTCAATTTCAGGAGGGGAAAAAAGGCAAAAGAAAACAAGCTGCTTTATTTAAACAGTGCTGTCCAAAGTGAGGAGGAGATAAAAGTCTAGGACTGGGAACAAAGAAGCAAACTTCCCTTTTTTTTTAACTAGATGCACACTCCTCATGCACAAAAACAGCCCTTTCCTCTGAGTGAAAACCATAGATCCAAGTGAGGACAAGTGGTTTGGGGCAGAAATAAACCAACATCAAACACATACGTTTGACAACACTTAGAGGGCGTTTTGCACAAGTTGTGCTCTCAGGTAAACGTGTCGCAGATTGTTCCATTTGAATGACCCTAAAAGTCATTTAGAGCCCATGTTCACACTTTATCTGCACAAATAAAACATCCTTATCAATCTGCCACTGATGGCTCATTGGTTGTTTTCTCACAGGAAGGCAGGATCTACTGAGTTGACAAGAAAGCAGTTGGTAAAATTGCCCATTTTGCACACCCACTCAGCTCTGTGACTACCTGCGGCTCCACTCTGACTTCTCATTCTGCCTCTGTGTGATCACACAGAATCGCACAGAAAGCCTGGTTAAGATTAGAGCTGAAGAAACCTTTTAGATAAAAACAATTGAAACATCATTAATAACCAGAAGACAATGCAGGTTGTTTCTCACTCTTCATTACACATAAAAAATACAAAAAAAAAAATCATGTATTTTTCTTAGATGCAACAGAAAAACTGGTACAAACCTTAAACTTATACATTTTTGTAATTATATAAAAAAGACATTAAAGGCTGGATATCAGTGGAGCTGCAGGTTTATCATCCACCAGAGATCATTTATGTGATCAATAATTGACTAAACTGCTGTGTAACAGCGTTTTCTCACCGACCTGTCTCCTCTCTGTCGGTCCTCGCTGTGCTGTGAGATAAGGATGCTTTTAAGTGCTGATATATTTCCAAAACTTAATTAAAATGGATGCTTTCCTTTTTATTTATCAGTTCAACCAAAGCTTGATTGCTAATTGTTTTTTTTTCCTTCGTTTTTTTTTCTTTAAGGAGGACACTTAACTCACTTTATTCTAACTGATCAGAAGCTTTTTAAACTGAAACCTTGCGCTTTTAATGAAGGAGATGTTAGAAACAGTCAGAGTTAATTGGATGATTTTTATGTGATAAACATTTACAAATCCATTAGTTCTCAATTACTAAAGATGAAATAAAACCCTGGCATGAAGAATGGAGGGAGGGAGGTTTGGTGTGCCGTTTGTATAGTTACACAGTCAAAAAATACCACCAATATTTTTGTTTTATTGAGCCTTTTATAAGAAAAAAAAAGAACAGATTTATTTTTCAAAGTCAGTTTTTCACCATATGATTCATACATTTATAAATGTCATTTTATAAACTAAATATTTTACTTACAAATTAAATATTTAACTTGTGACTTAAATATTTAGCTAGCTACCTAAATATTTAAGTTAAATATTTAGGTGGCTAGCTAAATATTTAAGTTGCAACCTAAATATTTAAGTAGCTAGCTAAATATTTAAGTCACAAGTTAAATATTTAATTTGTAAG